AGCAGCAAGAGAAAAGGAGACAGTAACCTACAAAGGAGTTCCCATCAGACTGTCAGCTGATTTCTCAAAAGAGACGTTGCAAGCAAGAAGGGGCTGGAAAGAAATATTCCAAGTCATGAAAGGCAAAGACCTACATCCAAGATTGCTCTATCCAGCAAAGCCTTCATTAGAATGGCAGATAAAGTGCTTCTCAGATAAGGTCAGGTTAAAAGAGTTCATCATCACCAAGCCCTTATTTTATGAAATGTTAAAGGGACTTAGAAAAAGAAGATGAAAAACATGTATAGTAAAATGACAGCAAACTCACAATTATTAACAACCACACCTAAAATAAAAAGAAAAACAAACTAAGCAAACAACTAGAACAGGAACAGAACCACAGAAACGGAGATCACATGGAGGGTTAAAAACAGGGGAGTGGGAGGAAGAGAGTGGGGGAAAGGTACAGAGAATAAGTAGCATAGATTGTAGGTAGAAAATAGACAGGGGGAGGGTAAGAATGGTATGGGAAATGTAGAAGCTAAAGAACTTATTGACACATGACATGAACTAAAGCAGGGGAAGGTGGGTGGGAGAGGGTGTGCAGGGTGGAGGGGAATGAAGGGGGAGGATAGGGACAACTGTAATAGTATAATCAATAAAGTATATTAAAAATAATACAATAAAATAAATTAATTAAATCGTTAAAAAATAATTAAAAAAATAAAAAGTTCCCTCTTATTTAATCATTTTGTTCATTTCAATTGGGCTTCAGGGAGAAAAGTTATGAAAACACTGTCAATCTGTCCCTTTCCCCCAAACTACCACCCATTACATTTATTATGTTGCATGGACTATGAATGCTGACAGATGTCAATTCTTATGTTCTTGCACTCTGTACAAACAGTATAGCACTAAGAATACCAGACAGTAAATCTGGGGAACCAAGATGAATATTCCAACCACTATGACAACAGCAGCTGTGTCAACATGGGTAATCGTTCAAATTCTCCAACTATATTTCTGTTAAAAAATAAGGGTGTTGACCTAAATAATCTATAAGGTCACTTTTGATTCCAACATTCTATTATGATGTAAAGTCATTTTGACTTCTAACATTGTATTACCATGATTTTATTACAACATTTTATGAAGACAGAAATTATTTAAATTTTCTGATAGCTAAACATCTCCCTCTAGTGGAAATTTTGTTAAAAAAATGTTTTAGGACACAAAGTTGTGTCTTCATTGATTTTTTTCTATCAGTCTCAATTACAAAAATCTGCTCAACATGTAAAATGGTAAAACCATTTTAAAAGGCAATGTGGTACTATCAATCAGAACTTACACGTACATCTTTGACCTAACATTCTACTAGAAATAAATTTCTAAAGATATACCTTACTTATATAAGTGGCCCTAGATTATGTGAGGATTTACCATTAAATAATAAAAGTTCAAAAAATAATTCTCATTACCACATTACATCATAATTCTAAGCAACAAAAACAAAAAAAAATAAGATAGTCCTTTGTTCCCTTCCCCTCCAAAAAAGCCTAAGTCCCACATATGACTTATCTCAAAAATCTTGCTGATTCAAGAGTTCTTTGTGATTGCTCTCAATGTACTGCTTACCAGTCTGGTCCTCAAGAAGAATTATAAAATTGTAAAGGGGCAGAGAAAATGAGTGTTCTTAACATAGCCAGGGAGAATATGCTCTTTCTGCAGCCAAGTAAGACTGAGCAGTTCAAAAACACCTACATACTTTGAAATGTGAACAGTGACAATGCACATCTCTTTAGAGACTTGGCAATTACTGTGTTGTGTGTCTTTCAATGAGTATCAACCCTTCTTCTTAAATTTTGTCCCCACATCCGCTAAAGCATATAGGACAGAAACTGCTGGCACCCCTAATTTTTCACTTCTTTTATGCCTCAAATTTTCATTAGGTACATGGCCATGAATAATGAAAACTAAATTTCCAGCCTCCCTTGTACTAAATTATTAGCCAAGGAAATATAGATGAAAATTATGGGTGTTACAATTTTTTAAGAGTGTCCTTCAAAGGAAAAGGTAAACCCTTGTTTGCCTACTTCGCTCCTGATGGCTGAAATGCTAGGGTGATTCACACCATGATTTGGAAGCCATGTGGGTGATGGCAGAGCCTGATTATCAAGAAGCTCTTAGAAAAACTTACATGACAATTTATTTAAGCAACAGAGAAACAGACTTCTAGTACCTGAAACCACCTTTATTTTTAGGTTTTTGTCATGTGCAGCTCAACTAATCCTAATTTGTTAAGCATGTGAACTAATGGTATTCCCTTGGGCCATCAGTAAATGGTCAGAAAATTTTCAATCATGCTTTGGTGGTAGGGAAACAATATTAGCTTAAAACACTACTGACAGGAAGTAAGGGCTAAGCTGGTGCTGCCACTACCTGGTAGGAGGCAGTAAACATGGCCTCTGCAGCAGAAGGAGCAGGACCTGTGTGCCAGGGCCCACATGGCTCTGGTTCTCTCTGTGCTACCTCACAGCAGCTACCCAGGACCATCAAGCCCAACCACTGTGAGAGATGCACAATGCCAGTTCACCATGGGAAGGCCTTTGGTTAGGCAGTAGCCATTCTTTAGAAGTACAACATGTTATAAAATATGTCCCCAAACTCTGACCTTGTCTTTGATTTGGCTCACAGTGGGATCAAACTACTGTCTGATGCTTTCTTTCAGAGTCTTCAGGGGACCAAAGTATGCAAATTTTTAAAAAAATGAAGTTAAAATATGCAGTCTAAGAACAACAACAGAAAATGAGGTCTATTTTACCATATCTCTCAGGCCAAGCCCTACTAATGAGCACACCAATCAATATTTGGGCACAATCCATCCAGATCCACTGAGCAATTCATTCGCCTCAACTTCAGAGGACAGTCTCTCTTTTCAATTGCACTTTTGGACAAATGTCCCAAGGGCAAGCCTGATAACTCATGGAACGACTATGGAAACAGATGAACACCTGTAGCAAAAAAAGCCTGTAGGACCCAAAGGCTACTAGGACACCCCTGAGCAGTTTCCTGGGTAATATATATATTGACAGTACAGACCTTCTTAGATATGGAACTGGACGTCAAGCCTATGATTTCGCCACCTGACATGAACTGTAGGCATGGCCCAATAATGGAGGCTGGGGCGCAGGCGAACATTTGGAGTTTCACTACTCTGAGTTTAGGATCACGTTAGCTACAAATAAAATGCAGTTGGTCCTTTTGTAATGTAAGCTTCCCCAATGGGACAACATCCATGAGTTCCTGGGGTGCACTAGGAGAAGCCTGGGGTCCTGGCACAAGCCATTCATCCTAAAGGAGACTAACCCATTTGGGTCCATGTTCTGTTTCACTTTTCAGCAGATGACCATGCTAAACAATGATATCATTTTAGTGACATGTATCCAAGGCCTGGTGCCAACCTAGGAACAATGCACCTCCCTAGGGTCACTTACTTATACCCCTGACTGTGTCCTATTCTGGTCAACTAGCCTTGACAATGTCACACCGTTGGGTGTTCTTGGTTACCCTGGCAGTGTTGAAAGGGAAGCCCTGGCTGTATATCTTGGTTGGATAGAGGGTCATCCTGATATGCCAAGGTTGCAGTTTTGATACCTGGTCAGGGCACATACAAGAATCAACCAATGAATGTATAAATAAGTGGAAAAACAAGTTGATGTTTCTCTCTCCCTCCACCCCCACTTTCTCTCTCTCTCAAATCAATAAATACATTTTTTTTTTAAAAGAAAGGAGACACTGTGACAGAGCATGATAAGGAGCCTAGAAATTCCTCAGCTAATTCCCACTCAGTTTGCCAGCATCAGTGGTGATAATCAGGATATGAACTGAAAAGAGTTCTCAAGAAGCGAATCCTCTGCTCCAAATAACTAGACCCAGGCACTCTTAACTAGTTCCTAAGGGGGCAGGGTCCTGAATACCAAAGATCAACTCCTGTCCCATATAAAGAGAGAAAACTTGGGGCTGTTTTTGTGGCTGAGGACAAGGATGAGGAATCCTGACACATGACTATAAATGTAAGTAAGCACCTTGTCCTTAGGATAAGGTATAATGGTATACCTTACTTGGTATAATCACTAGCCTATATCCACTTTAGTTATCTGATGAGCTTAAGCCAAGGCAGCCTCCCTGCCTGTCCTTGTTCCACTTTCTTGGTAGGCCCTGCTGGCAAAACCAACTGGTTCAAAGTAGTTTCCACTATCAAAGCATGAACTCCACCCTGGTCAGTTCACAAAATTATGCTTGAACCCGCTCTTTACAGAACCAGCCTTTGAAGCTGTCAGAGCCTTGTTTCACCTACTCCATCCTGGTCTCATGCTACACATTATCATTCTGTCTGCTTCCTGATTTTATGTGAAAACCTCAACCAAAAGTATCCTCCTCCTGTGTTGTGTCTCAGCAGTCTGGTACAATTTGCTGGCATAACTGTGAACCACCTTAGAGTCTAATTTTCCATCCCAGAGCAGTGTTCACATGGCTGTGGTCCAAGATGACCATAACTTTATGAGGGACCCTAAATAACAACACCCGAATTCCTGACCTATAGGAAAGGGTGAGATAATAAATGTTGTTTTAAGCCACTAAATTTTGGGGAACCTTGTTAAGCAGCAATAGATGACACATAAGAAATGGCTGCCATATTAGCTAACTACTGAGATGCGGCATCCAGGACTGTTTCCATGACCTTAGGGCTTCCTCTGGTAATCCAGGAGCATCTTATAACCTACCCTCCAATAAAGCACCTATACCCTCAGCAACAAAATACTATATGCAATCATTGGGGTACAGTATTTATACTTTAAATGCTTTTTGAAATGGTATCACTTAGCACAAATATGCTACAAGGAGATCCTGATTCATGAATTCCTCCTCCGTTTGGCCACTGCTGGAGGCTGAGGGTAGGGGTGGAGATTTTTTATTTCAAAGCAACAGAATCTTTGTTATCACAAAACTCTTTAATTTACCTGTACTTCCAGAATCTGGAATTCAACTTGAAATGTAATCATGTGGCAATTTCCTGATAATTTGTGTCTCTGTAGAACTTTCTTTATACCTATCAGAAAAACAAATACTTTATTTGCAAATAACAATTTCCTTCAAATATCCATTAATTAATTTTATGTGAATGTGTCTAAATTCATGTTGGTATAGTGTGAGGTATATGTTAATATTGGCATTGAAAATATCTAGAGTAATGTGCACCAAACTGATTACTTTTATAAAATAGAATTAAATCAACTCGTACTCTTTAGTTCTCGATTATACCAAAGATTACCATAAACTACAAATATTTCTCATATAACCATTTCAGTAAGTCAAGATACAGAAATTTAAAGTACCCCCTGAAGTTGCTTCATGCCCTTTCCCAGGCTGTACTCTACCCCCCTGCCCCAAATAACCACTATTCTGACTTTATTAATATCTAGATTTGCGAATAAAGGTATTTTTAGAAGGGCACAATTCTACAAGGATAAAAAGAAGGAAAACAATAAAAATAATCTAATTTTTGGAAGCTGAAAATCATATGGATGAGCTAGATATCACATGGGAAAGTAGAACTTACTGGCAGACCCAGGAAAACTGAAACCTAAGCCAACAAGGGGGTAAGCTCAGAATTAAACCCATTTATATAGCAGAATACCACAAAGAATTGGTAGCACCAAGTACTTCAACAAATGGGGCAGAACTTGGGGCTCAAAACAGGGAGACTGAGACTTGAGTAGTAATAAAAATCTACCTGGCCTAACCTCACTCTCCATTCTCTCTGCATTCCAACTCTTCTTTTTGAAGTATCAAAAGTATCTAAATACCATCACTCATTTCTATATGCAACTCAAACTTCCACTAAGGTGAGCTGTCCAAGACTGAGGGTCATCACTCTCCTTTCTGTGTCTAGAGGGTTATTTCAATGGGAGCCAGGAAGTATTTCCAAAACTGATTCCTTCTTTAGGGAATGGTAGCTCTGTCCAAACAAAGTTCCTGATATCTGATTGCACAGCTGAATTAACCCCCCCTTTCCTGTTAATGCATCACAGATCCGTGGCAATAAAACTTAATTACTGAGACCAGAAACCCTCCTTGGGTAAATGGTCCAGCTGCTGAAACATTTACCTTGGCTACAGGCTACCTACAATAAGAGTATAGTACTATACATGAGGCATGTCTCATGTCAGTGGTGGACAAACTCCTAAGATCTACAAATTAACAGTGTTGTTGTTCTTATAACCACTGATCTCTGTTACTTGACTATTAAGTTACTTAGTAAGACACTGTATCTTTAATATGTACCTCAGGCAGCTTTTAAAAGTGTTATTAGGTACACTGATGATCAAGATACCCTACAAGACAAGGCCTACCACAACCACACATTCAAATAGCTACCTTGTAGATTTTTAATTCAACAATTAAATTTTGCCACTGAATTTCCTATGCATAACAAGGTAAGCTTCAGCACTATTTCTAGATAAAATTTAATACTTACTCTTTTCTGTCATCTCAGTGCTTGTTAGGTTCTTTGTCTTCTTAGAGTAACTGATTATATTGATGTTAGTAAGTGTGCTTAGAAACAAAAGTTCTGATTCTAAATGTCCAAGATTGCTTCTCAGATCTTTTGAAGATTTCCATTCTTCAGGATCAGATTGGCGTATTTCTGGAAATGATTTCCTAAAATGGAAATACTGGAAATAATTACTCCATGAAGAAACCATCTAAGCCCTGGCCAGTGTGGCTCAGCTGGTTGGAGCGTTGTCCCATAAAACAAAGTCACAGGTTTGATCCGTAATCAGGGCACTTAACTAGGTTGTGGGTTTGGTCCCTGGTTGGGGAGTGTTGGGAACTGCCCTGCCTGGTTTCAGAAGCTGTAACCCCCACCTATGGCTAAGGCTGAGTGAGGGACCTTCAGACCATAAGCCACTAAGGAGACAAAGCTTATCTCCCTGGCAGGGGTACCACCTCTGCTCCTTTTTCACCCTGCCTGGCCCCCAATGCTTGATCGGTTAGCCAATGACAGGTAAGATTCCTCAAGGGAGGGACCATCTAAGACAGGCATGATCACAGGGGCCCCCAGGGAAGGACTTGCAGACTATAGCAAAAGGGGGTGATGGACCCTAGCCCCTCCACTTTGACATAGCCTGAGTCCTCATTCTGTCTGCAAGAAGTCTCCTAATCTCTTGGCTGCCTTACTTCCCCTGCTTGACTCAGGCCTGAAACAATGCCTTAAGCCTGAAACAATGCTGGTGGGGGGTGCCACCCAGTGCTGGAAAGGACGGGTTCCCTAGGGTGATCAGGCCTAAGAAAGAATGTGTAAAATCCTGTGAAGCCTACTTTGCTAATACCCTCATTTTAAATAATAAGGGACCACGCAGGAAGTGAGTTTATTCCCCAAAGTTTTATGGCCCTTTAACTATCTGACCCTGACTCAGAATAAGTCCTCAGCATTCTTTGAATGTTATCTATTGTTTAATCATTTCTGCCTGACAATGACTGATGAGCTTTATTCCTGTGGAAATTGAACCCAATAAAAGCTTGTCAAGGCAAGGGTCGGGGTGCTCTCCTCTTGAGAGCGTAGCTGTGCTGTCCCTTTTCCTCCACAAGACTCAATAGTCCATGTGAATGTTCTGTCTCATCCATAATGCCACAGACACTGCAGGCCGGTGTCTGCATCAGGGGAGTACAAGAGGCAACCAATTGATGATTCTCTCCCTTCCTCTCTCTGACTCTTCCCCTCTCTCTAAATTCAGTAAGCATGTCCTTGGGTGAGGATTAAAAAAGAAACCATCTAACATCTACAAATTTCTTCAAACAGTTCCCATGTTGTCCTTCTGAATCTTTTTCCATTAAAACCAACTCAAAACTAATGTGGCTTACTGACACTGCAACCTTTTAGCACAACAATGAAACAAATCTAACCAAATTATCCTACCTATATCTATATATTCGAAGAAACTATAAAAATATTACCACAAAGTATTTTATAGAATTAAAATGTCTATTTAGGTAGGAATGTTTAAAATGCTCCAACCTAAATGTGTGACATCTTCGAGACATCTCAAATTACTTTAAGAGATGTCATGAAGTTAAAAACAAAATAAACTAGGAAGCTTTCACTTCCAAAATAAGTACAATATCAAAGAGCATTCTGTGTTAAGAAAGAGATTCTCAGGAAATCTGAGAATACAGGGGGTAAAAATTCTGAAAAAATAATAGAATACTTCCCTTAATACCACAATTAAATATTTTTAATTGAGAACATGTAACTATTTTCCTTGAGAAATGGTAAAATTTCAGCTAATAATCACACTGAATGGTACTTTACTTTTTGTCACACTAAATTACCCTCATACTCTTTACCACATTATACAGTGTTGACTTCTAGAAACCATCTTAAGAAACACCTTCCTTCAATTCTGGGGCATGACTATCCTAATTCTTATTTTACATGTTGGGTCCTCCAACTCTGTATTTTTCATATTGGAGATCAAAAACTTGTAGAAAGTCTATAGTAATTTTTAAATGTTTTAATGCTAATTTAAAATATTAAGTATATTCTGAGAGACTACCACATTCTCTTTTGTATTTGCCATCGATTAACTGCTTTAATAAAAAGTAATATAAATTACTTTATTACGTTAATTAAATTAAAATTTATTAAAAATTTATTACTTTGATAAAGTAATAAGATTACTTTAAATATAGAAAACTGATTTAAAAAAAGGAGAGGCAATTTTCATATACAAATGTCAAGTTTTTTCTAAGTGAATAGCAAATAATGTCACAGCAAACTATGAATGACTATCAATGAAAATGTCAAGGTACTTTTAATAGAGCAAAGCAATAAGAAAACTAAGTCATCATATTGAAGGATAGATATGCAAAACTCAAAAAAAAAAAAGAATCTATGACTGGGAAAGGGAAGAATGTGGAATTATTTTTTAATGGGTACAGAGTAGCACTTCAGGGCAATGAAAAAGTTCTAGAGGAGGATAGTGATGATGGTTGCTTGATAGTGTAAAAGTAGTTAATGCCACTGAACTGTATACGTCAAATAAGGTACTGGTAAATTCATGTTAAGTTTTATCACAAAAAGACAACTAAAGGTTCTCATTCATAGCAGGGATTTACTTGGAATAAAATGTTATCACTCCATTTCAACTAATGACATTAGTTTGAATGATTCTGAGTTATGGACTTTATTGGTTTTATAGTTTTACTTAATACTTGTAAATTGTCTTGTTAGCATAATTTTTTGGTCAAAAGTAGAAGTTCACAAGAAACTTATCTCTTTTAAAACAAATCTACTTGAGACTTTAAGTTTAAAAGTCAATGAGCTAGCATTCTGGGAAGATGGTGGAGTAGGAAGCACCAGGACTCTATCTCCCCACCTAGACAGCAATTGCACTAAAGAAGCAGTCTGATATAGTTTGTTATGGGATATGCAAGATAAAAAGATGTAAATTGTGACATCCAAAACATAAAATGTGGGGTGGGGATGTAAAAATGTGAAGCTTTACAATGCATTCAAATGTAAGTTGTTATCAATTTAAAAACAGATGATTATAAATGTAACATGTTTTATGTAACATTCATGATAACCACAGAGCAAAAACCTTTAGCAGATATACAAGTGAGAAAGGAATCTAAGCATACCACCACAGAAAATAATGAAATCACAAAAGGAAACAGGGAGGGAGGGAGGGAGGGAGGGAGGGAGGAAGGAGGAATTACAAAACTACCACAAAACATATTGGCAATATTGCTATAGGAGATATCTGAAATTTTACTGCCTACGTTTTCTTCTAGAATTTTTAAGGTATCATGACTTACATTTAAGTCTTTTATCATTTTGATTTTATTTTGGTACATGGTATAAGATGGTGGTCTAGTTTCATTTTTTAGCATGTAGCAGTCCAGTTCTCCCATCACCACTTATTGAAGAGACTGTCTTTACTCTATTGTACAGTATGTTCTTTCCTCCTTTGTTAAATATTGATCATAAAGACATGGGTTTATTTGGGGGCTCTCTATTCTGTTCCATTGACCTATGTGTCTATTCTTATGCCAGTACCAGACTGTTTTGGTTACAGTGGCCTCATAGTATAGTTTTACATCAGATACTGTTGTAAAACCATACTATGATCCCTTCAAATTTATTCTTCTTTCTCAAGATTGCTGAGAATATCTGGGGTCTTATTTGGTTCCATATACATTTTTGGAATATTTGTTCTAGATCTGTGAAATATGCCATTGGTATCTTAATAGGAATTGTGTTGAATCTATAAATTGCTTGGGTAGTATAAACACTTTAATGATGTTCATTAATTCTTCCAATCCATGAGCATGGTATATGCTTCACTTACTTGTATCTCCCTCAATTTCTTTCTTCAGTGTCCTATAGTTTTTCAAATATAGGTCTTTTATCTCCTTGGTTAAATGTATTCTTAGGTACCTTATTTTGTTGTTATTGTTGTTACAATAGTAAACACAATTAATTGTCTTCTTCATTTCTCTGATAGTTCATTACTGGTTTATGAAAATGCCATTGATTATACATCCACACAATTGAATACTATGTAGCAGAAAGAAAAAAGGAATTCCTACCTTCTGTGACAGCATGGATGGAACTGGAGACTATTATGCTAAGCGAAATAAGTCAGTTGGTGAAAGACAAGAACCATATAACGTTACTTATAAGAGAAATCTAATGAACAAAATAAACTAATGAGAAAAATAGAACCACGGGCACAGAACCATGGAACAGACTAACAGGTAAAAGTGTGGGGGGCTGGTGGGGGATTGATTAAAAGATGGTGAAGGGATTAGTCAAAGAACATATAAGAAGGACCCATGGACATGAACAATGGTGAGGGGACTGATTATGGAATTGGGTGCAGGCTCGGGGTGGGGGTGGGGATGAAAGGGGAAAAACTGGGACAACTAAAATAACATAAACAATAAAATTTTAAAAAATTAAAAAGCCACCAGAAAACAACAAAGTGACAATAAGTATACTCCTATCAATAATTACTTGAAATGTAAATCAACTGTCCTGGCTGGTATGGCTCAGTGGACTGAGTGTCAGATTGTGAACCAAAAGGCAGCCAGTTTGATTTCCTGTCAGGATACATGCCTGGATTGTGGGCCAGGTCCCCAGTAAGTGGCATGCAAGAGCAACCAATCAATGTGTCTCTGGCACATTGAGGTTTCTCTCCCTCTTTTTCTTCCTCCTTTCCCCTCTCTCTAAAAATATGTAAAATCTTAAAAAAAAAGTAAATCAACTGATTTTCCAATCAAAATGCACTGGTTGAATGGATAAAAAACAAGACCCATGTACATACTGCTTACAAGAGACTCAAGATAGAAAGACAAAAACAAAATAGAAGTACACACACACACTGAAAATGAACAGATGGAAGGAAAAAGATATTATGTACAAATGAGTATCAAAAGAAAGATGAGGTACCTATACCCATATTAAAAAATAGACTTTAAGACAAAGATTTTAATAGGACAAACATTATCATTACATAATAATAAAGGGGTCAGTCCAATAAGATACAGTATTTGTAAATATTTGTACACCCAACAAAAGAGCAATTAAATATATAAACCAAATATTAACAAACCTAAATGGAGAAAACAGTATTATAAGAATGGTAGGGGACTTG